TAGAGAAACTTGCAGAAGCGACACGTTCATTTTAAACACCCGCTGGCACCTGCAAGCAACTGGAGAGTAAGGGAGAGGAGAGGCACAGCAGAGTTTCCAAGAGTATAGCATTTGGGCCCTAAAAGAAGGAAAGGAATTGAGTTTTCCATGAAATCAGTGGGGTCTTATGTAAAACCCAGGCCCTGCCGGCTTTGACAGGAGGGAGATACGCCCCTACAGAGCACGCGGCCGTGGAGCCCAACCCCGTCCCTCCCTTTTGTTCTCCGAGGCAATGGGTCCAAGTGCAGTCAGGAGAAAACTGAGGTCTCTCAGAGGCCATCAGATCCCTTGTGTCATTGCAGTGGCTCTACATGATTCAAACGATGGCCCTGCTCCAGTTGAAGGGAATGGCACAAGTGATACGAGCTAGTCTGGCCTAGGACAGACCAGCATAACTTCACTGCACTCAGTGGAACTTGTTACAGCAGTGGAGGACTGGCCCACTGACTTCAATGGGAGGAGGCCTGGATTTTATGAGTGTCAAACTTGTCCCACCCGTGAAAATGGAGCTGTTTCTTGGTGGGTTTTCATAAGGGCACCTGAGTCTCTTCCAGGGCTGTCCAAGTCAGCAAGTCTCCCCTTATAAAACTATTACAGTAACGCTGCAGAAGCCTGCGTCGGAGCCTTAGCCTTTCAGTGCAGGTGCTCATTTCCAAGAAGGAGCATGGAGGCTTCAAAACACGGTGTCCCCGGGTCCCTGCAATGCAATGTGGAAGTACTGCCCTCTTCAGTGACAAAGACCGGGCCGGCAGCACCAGCAGAGGAGCTATCAGGACCGGGAATCACTGAAGAGCCAGAAATATTGTCAGCAACGGCAGACGTCATATCAGTCCTGATGCAGGGATGCAAGTCTCCTGGAAGGGCACTTCAGCACATTGAAGCATGTGCGGAAGTGGTTTTCTGAACAGGGTTGGAGATGACCACAGGACCCCACGCGACTAGGCAGCAAGCTCTGTGACAACCAGAGACACTGCCGTTCCTGCCATATCTTCAAGCACAGGTGAACATCCTGAGGGATTACAATCACTCACTGCAAGGTCTCAGGCCTTCCCCTGTGAATGCTGCCTTTCAGGGGAAACAGAAATATCCAGTCTGCAGTTCTCAACCCCCTCCTCCCCTCCAACACATTTTTTTCTCTTGCTCTGCCAATGCAAATGCCATCCAAAGCCCACTGCTCTTTCTGTGCTAAGAGGCATGAAATCATATCCATCAAGGTCTTGGAAAAAAAGAAAGCTGGCAGTACTGTTTGGAAGCGAGTAAGCCAGATATGCATTTGGGTCAAGCTCCCGTGGTACCACTTAAAAAGAACAAAATAGATCATGCAACTTCCAACCACTTTGTGCTTTATATTACTAGCAAGAGAGATGCACGGAAGGGGATGACTTTTCAGGACAGCCCAAACAGGACAGTCTTATTCCTGCCATAGCTACAAACAGAGTACAGTCGCAGAACAAGAGCGAGCGCCTTACCAGCTAAGCTGGGGAGAGGGGAATAAGCAGTCACCCCAGGTAGACAGTTACTCTGCTTGAGGATTCGGGCTTTTATGAGAAGCTAAGGGTAGCTGGGTACCGAAAGGATTTGGGTGCCTAACTCTATTAGGTTCACTAGAAAATCCCAGTGAAGGTGCTCAAAGTGAAATACAGGTTTCATCCTGACTCAGGTCTCCTCTGTTGTGTAAGGTCTATGCATGGGCGGTTGGACTTCTGGCCACCTCCGGTTACTGCAATTATCGTTGTCTCATGGCTGAGCACAGCCCATGGCTCAGGACCGCTGGCTCGAGGTTGGATGCACAGCAGGTGTAATGCGGAGCAATTTATGCCAATGGCAGAGCTGACCTGTTAGCTCTACGCATTGCTCCGGGGAGTTGGACAGTAAGGAGGCGCAGGTTCAGGAGAAATACAGGAAAAGCTCGGTAAAAGAAGACATTGGTGCTATTCGGGGAGGAGAGATCCAGTCCCGTGCGCTCAGATGCCTGCAGGGACGGGATTCTGTCCTGCTGGAACAGAAATCAGGCTGAGCTCTTCAAAAGATACAAACCCTCCTGACTCAGACTGGAGTATGAAGCACGATCTCAAGAGTTTCCTCATCTAATTGTGTGCTAGAAATGAGAGGAAACAGGCTGCATGATTTTTGAAGCCTTCCTGGTTTCCAAGGCTTGTGACAGGGCAGAGGGCCTGCCATGTACCCTCCTGTAATCAGAGTAACGCTGCACAGCAGCACCAGCCAGCAGAGACTCCGAAGCGGTTTCCATCACAAAAAATGAAAACACTGCACTGTAAGACGTGGCTGACTGAGCATGAATGCAAAGCACTGGAAGAAAGTCATTGTTTTCCCAGTGACAGGTTCACGCTAATGTGAATGTGACCTTGTGGCCGCCTCCTGGAAGGAATCGGACCTGGTTGGATTGAGGGTTGCTGAGTTACCCCCGGTGCAGCCTAGAGGGGATAACAGACTTACTGCCGGTGGCTGCTGACGAACCTGTCATTGTTAGTCTTCACAAGTCAAATTGCTGATGTTTCTGGAGCCTGAATTAATGTGCAAAATCTATGCGCACGCACAGATGGTCACGGCTGTCTCTTCTGAATATTTGCACCCATGGGGAAAGCCACACTTGCTCACTAGCATGCAGACATTGCCGAAGCAAGGCCATACGGACTGGCTGCTGCCTGACCAAGCATGGCTTGCTGTGGTTACCCCACGAGGTTACGGTTGGAGGGGAAAGGGAAGCAGTGCCTGGCACAGTGGCTAGGGTTTACCAAGGCACAGTCCTATCTATTAATCATTTTTTGGTTCTGAAAAGCAGCCACTGCCCGTTGCACAGGTTTCCATTAGTGGCACATGGCGCTGCACTGGAAAACGTAGGAGCAGGTTACATCACATCTTTCCTCCTTGCTGGACAGGAAACCAGATAAGCAGCCCAACAGGTGTCATTGCAGCCTATGGAAGTTTTGGGTGACATTTCAGTAGTGTTGGGTTTGTAGCAGGGATGGCCACAGGCCATAAAATCTAAGCATCCCAGAAGTCAATTGGCACATGGATCTTGCACACACAATTTTCTATTTAGGGAGGTGCAGCCAGGATGAGGCCAAGAGATCTGGCCTGATAAGCCCTGGGAAATGGGAAAGGCTGGAAGGCAATCACTAGCACACCTGCTCACCCTCCTCCACAAATTCAGGTGGCAGCTGATGTCCACTAAGCTGCAGACCTCAGCTAGAGAGCACAAGAGGGACCTGCACAATCGTGCATGGCCAAGGATGTTGGGAAAGGCCCCTGGGATTCATGGTGCATCATCCCAGACACAGGCAGCACAAGGAGTTTCCTGCTGCACTGTGGAGCCACCTCCGGTCGTATCTCTGCGCTTAGGGCTGCTTTCCAGACTCGGGAATCTGGACAGAGTCTGCACGTGCTATTGCGCTCCTGGTCTACTCTTCCATTCTGCCAAGGGAGGAGAAAGAAGGAGCAGCCCCACAAGGGGCTGGATCTGATTTTTCTGATTTCCTGTCGGTTTGGCTTTTTTTTAGCAGAGGCCCATCTTTGTGACACTATAAGGTAGCAGTAGGAATAGACGTGACCTCCTGGGAAAGGCTTCTCGACTCCCCTCTCCACGTGCTGCCCGGAAAGCAAACCTCGCTGTACTTTCCAAAACTGAAAAATGAGAGCAAACGTCTAGGAAACAACAGTCATCCTTCCGCCCTGCGCTCCCTTCCAAAGCACGGCTCTGGCGTAGCTCTGCACTGTGTCAAGGGGTGGTGTTTTTGCCTTAAACAGCTACGAGCTATAGTCTGCTTAGACAGCTCTCCTGAGCTCCAGGGCCCCGCTGGTTCTTTTCAGAAACTATGAAAGCAGCTAACCAGACAGTCGCCCAGCCGTCTCTGTCCCCAGGCTCCAAATCTCCTTGGTCATTACAAAAGAGTTAATGTGGTTCCAAGTGTTTAACCCCCTTCCCCGACCCAGAAAGATGGACACACAACATTCCCAGTGTATTCAGAAAGAGGAGTTGTTTTAAAGCTAAGACAATCTTGGCCCCATTAATACTTTTCATGCAGAAAAAGTCTGGATACTGTATATATTTCATCAGTCTGCTTTACATCAAAGGCAAGATGGCAACATGAAATGCGAAAGGGAAACAGAAAATGCAGATCGTCGACAGAAAGATGGAACTCAATTCTGGTCTTGAGATCCGTCTCAGGGGAATGAGCTGAGCTTATCAAGAGGATGGAGCAGAAAGGGCAGGAAATGGGGAATGAAGAAAAGGAGCTACGTGATCCCCCCGGAAACATCAGCCAGCTGGCAAAGCACAGCAGACGTGGTGGGGGGGAGGGCGGAAAAGATTTTTGGCTTCATTGCTATTGCAGGCTCCCCTTCCCCTGCAGTAATGTGTAGGTGTGTAAACCTCGCAACAAATATCGCCTAGGTGTTTGACATACACGAGACTACACGCAGCAACATCCACAACAAATAAATAAAGATATCGCTCATGTAGATAAGTCTATAAAAAAGCCTCACTTTTTTCCACCAAAAACAAAACAAAAAAAGAAAAGAAAACCCAAGCCCCACAATACTGTATCACAAAAGAAATAATATTATCCCAAGCGACGCAGGCTGGGCCGTTGCTGAAACTGCGGATGATGTAGAACGATCGTTTCCAAATGCCTTTTATCCGCCGCCTTCCCCCCGCCCCGATGCAGTGAAAGCCCACTCCAACCGTGAGCGCTCGGCGGGCTTGCAGGGGCCGCGAATTCCCAGGCATCAGCAGTACCTTTTGGCTCCTCCTTCAAGTCTGTGGTTTTCTACCAAAGAAATGTCCAATCTCGTGTCGTTTTCGGTCCGTTCAAAACAAAAAAGAAATGAAAGGAAAGCGAAGTGTGCGGGGAGGGGGGGTGTTCCCCACGCAGCGGCCCACCATTCCTCCCCCCCACCCTGATTCTCCACAATTTGCTGCTTTTTTGTTGTTTTTTTTTTCTCTTTTTTTTTTCCTTTTTCTTTTTTTGGGTTTTTTTTTTTGAAAAAGCGGAAGTTGGCAAATGGGAACGGCTGATTCAGAGCGCAGGGTGGGTGGGGGTGGCCTCACACTTCAAGCACATCCTTTGTTCGCATAACAGAAAGGAAGGCCGTAGAGGGACAGGCGAGCTTCTTTACTGAGGTGGTCTGATGGCACAGAGAGAGTCTTCCCCCAGACATCTGAAAAAGAGACGGGGTGGGGTGGGGAAGGAGAGGCACAAGTCAAACCACGCTTCAGTCAAAGACACCAGAGGCAGGGTGACATTTTGGAGTGCAAGAGGTGGTGCGGCCAACTCATACAATTGTGTCCGGGGTGTTGCCACGTGGGGGGCTGTTCTTAAGGCACTAGCTCCTGGAGTCAGGGGATGACAGGAGGTCAGCTTTCATTGGGAAGGAAAAAAAAGGCAAGTTTCTAGCCTTTATGACTGCAAGAACAAGTTTGGAAACATGACACTGGACAGGCCCCAAACCCACAGCTGTTATGGTCTTAATTGAAAATCTCGTGTTTTTTAAGCCCATCTCACCTCAGTCTATCGAAATTTCACAATCAGGAACTTGATCCAAAATTGTGAAATCCTTAAAAAAAAAAAAAAAGGCCAGGTAGCACCAGAGCAAGGTGAAAACACAAAGGGCACGAGGGGAAGTAGCGCATGGAAATGTATTATATATATATAGGGTTGACTTATAAATCAGACTAATACAGTAATTAAATAAGAATCCATATGAATGATCATTGGTAATTTCTAAGAACGTGCTGGCACTGCTTGGTAGTAGCCCCTGAAAGCTGTGCTTTGCTCAAGAGCACCTTCTCTAACCACTGCATTTTGCAAGCTGCCTCCAGGGCTTTGCTAAATGTGATCGCTGCAGATACAGCGTGATCCATACCGCAGCACCTGCCAGCTTTAAAGCCTTTACAACGAGGCAAGCTTTACTGTATCAGTGCTTACAACAACCCTGGAGGATGCCTGGAAATCCAAAGGCTGTTTGTCACTGTCCCCCAAGCACACAGAGAGGGATCCACACCATGTCAGCTGGTACCAGTGATGAAACGCCTAAGGGGGAGTTTGGAACAAAATCCAGCTAAATCTGAGTCTAGCTACCGATGTCAGCTCCTCTCCTGTACCCTGGGGAAAGATGTCTCCCTCCCTCCCTTCCCACCACCAACTTCTCCAGGTTGGCATCTTCCTGAAGCCTCCTTGCATCTCTGCAGCACAAGGCTTTGAGAGCCAATTTGCCATATGCAGGCACCCAGGGCCAGCCCTGCTTTCCACACTCATTCCCTCCTGAGAGCCCAGCCTTTTCCTACACTTGTTCTCCACTAGAGCCTGCTAGATACCACCTTAAAAGCAGCTAAGTGCATACAGGAGGGGAGGGCTCAGAGGAAACCATGAGCTCCAGGGAATGCAGTATCTCCAGCCCTGCCCACTCATCAATACTGGCACCCTCATTACCACACCACTGCCCCATCTAGCAGAAACACAAACATGGAAGCAAGCTGCAAAGCCTAGAGCAGCTCAGTGAAGTGATGCAAAGCCACACACTGAAGCCTCCTGGGATGTTGCTCATCCTGCCTCAATGTGGGGAGTGAAGCACTGAAAACCCAAGGGTAGAGACAAAGGTGCCCTGGGACGTCACCTGGCAGGCTTGTTTCCTCCAGTGCACTTCCCAGGATCCAGCCCAGCCTATCTGGAGTGTCTCAGTGCATGGGCAGAGCACCACAAAGCAAAAGAGGCTTTGTAGCGCATCAGCTGCCCCGTGGGACCTGCCCATGTGCACACTGCTACCCTGTGGTGAGCAGTCATTTAGCCCTCTTCCATTGAGGAGTGGATTAGCCAGAGCTGATCCTGCCCATGGGCTGGGGGAGGTCCAGCTCCCTAAGGTCTCTTCCATCCATCCGACTGTGACCGCCTACAAATTCATTAGGGGGACGCAGCAAGGGATCGGAGATGCTCTGTTCACCAGGGCGCCTCTTGGGGTAACAAGGAACAATGGTCACAGACTGACAGAGAGCAGATTTAGGCTATATATCAGGAAAAACTTCTTCACGGTGAGGGTGGCCAAAATTTGGAATGGGCTTCCAAGGGAGGTGGTGCACTCCCCTACCTTGGGGGTCTTTAAGAGAAGGCTGGATCAGCATCTGGCTGGGGTCATCTGACCCCAGCGCTCTTTCCTGCCTAGGCAAGGGGTCAGACTCAATGATCTGTTGAGATCTCTTCCCACCCTAGCATCTATGAATCTACTTCCCCTGAGTGTGTTACCCTACCAGTCCTGCCTACGACAAACACTGGTCCCCAGCCCCAGCGCCTTGCTCAACTTACCGCAGTTTGGGACTCCAGGACTATACGAGTCCGTCATAGAGAGATAGCGCCTGTACGATGGAGGGGTCAGCTTTGGAGCCCTCCTGGAACTCCTGCAGCGTGAGCTTCCCGTCGGCGTTCTGCAAGGCAAAGGCAGCGAGAGCTGCAGAGGGCTGATGGCAAAGGGCTTTTATTCGTTCAGTTGAAACTTCTGCCTGTTAACGGAGGCAGAGTCCTTCCCAGGATCAAGCCCTCGATTGGCCTGGGGAGAGCAACACACTCGAGCAACCTCACCTCTCAGCCCCCCGCCCTGCTCAGGAACCCACAGGGAAGCCAGAAGCTGGAAGAACATTTCAGGCAAATGCCCCCACCCCAGGATGTGGTCTAGGTGGGGGCTGCCATTGAGACAAGCACCAGAGGCAACAGAGGGGGTGCTGAGAAGCCCTGAGCAAGCTGGAGGAAGTCCACCAGCCCCAGAGAAGCACCGGGCGGGCGGTGGAAAGTTCGCTGTTAAAGGAGACAGCTATACGGCCGGGTGTTTCATGCTCTTGGCGACACACAGGTACTCCCTGTGACTCACCTTGTCCATCATGGCGAAAATCCGATCCACCCTCTTCTCAGGGGTGTTTTCCTCTTCCGGGAGCTCCACTGTATTTCCCTGTGGGGATACGAGAGAGTGCCAGTCAAACATATCTCCTGCTTGGGCATGCCCTGCCTCTTTTGTGCTGGGGGATCTCTGCATCTTGCTGTCTTTTCCCTGTCCCTTCTGGCACTGGTGACCAGGACCATCTCTGAAGGGCACTGTCAGCTAGAGCAGCTTTGTGCTCCTCTGTCTGCACTGCAGAAAGCCAGCTCCCCTCCCCACAGGCAGCATTTGGTCACCCTCAGTGCATGCCCCAGCTACATCACCCCCTTAGCAAAGACCTACACTCGGATGCCAGTCCCAACCTGGAGCAACAGACTGAGGCACCAGAAGCCCAGGCTGCAGCAGCCTGGGAAAGTGGATAAGGAACACTGCTCTCCCCACAGTGGGATGTGCAACCAAAGTGGTCTGATGGGGGCTGCTTGGTCTCCCTGGAAGCATTGGCTCTGAAGTCATGTCTGCATCATGGTCACAGGGGTGGGGTGCTGGTCAAGGGCTCCCCTGCTCTCCCTCACCATATTCATGAAGCCAGGGCTGCAAACTCCTTCTGAGGCTGCCCACTGCACTTGCTAACGTGCCGTCCACCTTCCCCTGCCCAACTGCTTACCACCATCTGATAAATAGCATCTACGATGTCCAGCATCTCATTCCTCGTGATGTACCCGTCGTTGTCCAAGTCATACAGTTTAAATGCCCCTGAAACGAAGAGCAAGGCAGAGGGGCTTAGGAAGCTCCACGCACCCATGCAGGGGCACAACCCTGCTGACAGGGCACTGATTGACTGGGGGAGGTGGCAAGCAGCTGAAGTGCTCTTTGCCTCCAGAGGGGATGAGACCCAAGCTGCAGCACGCTTGGCAGTCAGGCAATGGCCTGTGTGTGAGATGAATACATAACCTCCAGCTGGCTAAAGCCTACATCAACCCTGTTGGTGCTAAGTCACCCCCAGATGCCAGTCTCAGCAAGGAGGCCAAGACCTGACTGGCTTCTGGGAACTCAATTTGCCCCTGGGAGCTGATGTGTATTTGCAAGGGGGACCCCTGCCCTGCTGCTGCCCAGGCTGCTCCCATGCCAAAGGTAATGAGGCCTCTTCCACAGGGCAGTCGATCCACCACACACCTCGGGCACTTCAGTGCACGTGCACTAAGTGGCACACAGCTCTGTGCTCTGGAAACATGCCTTGACAGCCCGCTACGTGTCCCCGCTCTTTGATTCCAGCTAGCACACCGCAAGCCTGGGCACTAAGAACAGGCCTGTCCCAGGGCAAGCACAAGACCTGAGCGAGACATGTCTCTGCAGTGCTCCCCTAGGCAAGCAGACAGCTTGCAGGGTCTGCGCGCTTTGGACTGTGCTCTCGATTTTAGCCCTGGCCAGCCTTCACAGACAGGGTGTCCGGCTCCCGGTTTCAGATGGGACTAAGCACTTACACCGCAGCTTCTCATCCAGTGTCCCTCGGGAAGTGACCGACAGGGCTTGGATGAACTCCGAAAACTCGATCCTGCCATCCTGAGAAAGGAAAGGGCCCTGTGAGATCCCGCAGCAGAGGCTCATGCATGGGGGAAGAGGCTGAGATGCAGGCAGGCCAGCTCAGTGTAGATGCTGGGCTGCTGATTCGTACGATGTGAGCAGAATTTTGTTGCCACCTGTGCTAGCAACTGAGATCTTGCCTTGTCGCCCAAAGTGACCCCCCAAGAGTCAGGGGTCAAGTTACTCCTAGAACTAAGGGAGTTAGCAAGGGGTAGGAGAGAGGGCAGGAAGTTGACCAGCGGCTAGGCACCAAAATGCACTGGCAGCCACCTGCAATCTGGACTGCTGGAGCCACGGCCTCATCCTGCGCTTCCCTTCACTGTTGTGCATCCAGACCAGTGGCCAACCCAGGGAAGATGGGCTGCACCCACCCCCAGCCAACGAGGAAGGAAACATAAGGGCAAGTCTGCAGAGCTCCCGCACTATGCCGGGGAGTGCAAAGTGCAGCACGCCTGCTCTGCATGTGCTGCCTCCTGAGACAGAGGTGGAGCGCTGGGCACGTGCCCACGAGTTCTCCTGAGGGCAGCATGCGTGGAGTGGGCATGGTTTGTCTCAGCGAGAGGGCGAGGCAGTTGGGAAAAGCCTGAGGGGCCTCTGGCCAGCATGGCTATGTAAACTCAAATAAGGCTGGTTGCCTATGGAAAAAGGCACATGAGACGTGGAAGTGAAACACCTTCTCTCCCTCACGGAGTTATATGCAGAATGAAGACATATGGGAAACCACTGCCCCACATCTGCATGCAGCATAGGTCTGGGAGAGGCTGGCACTGACTGGCACCAGCAGGGCAGGCAGACCCCAGGATTATTTCCTCTGCAGCTTTGCAAAACCATTGGTGCCCAAGTCTGACAATATGCGGGCATAAAGAGGAGCCGGCACCCCCCAATATCCTCCTTTGGGAAAGAGAAGAGAGCTTTAAGTGCCAGCAAGGAGGAAAGGGTTAAAGGCATGGGAGATGATTAACATTTATCTCTGTGGCAGCTCAGCTGTAAGGAGCATAATCTGGCTTGTGATGGCCATGTAAAACCTGCAGCGGCCTATAATCCCAACCACGGATCACGCCAGGGGCTCTCGGGGAGATGGGATGCTTGGCCTGGAGGGCTTGTGTCAGCTGTGCAAAATGCCTTGTAGCACCTCTCTCGCTTTACCCTTTATCCCCTTCCAGCAGGATGATGATCAAGTAAAATAAGCATAGGGCCTCGCCGCAAAAGCTCCTCCGCTCTCATTTCACACCCCAAGAAGCCAACGTTGGGGCTTGGGCGCCATGAGAAAGGAGCGGTGAGCGGGCGGCTCTGCGCAATAAACTCCATGGGGTGTCCCACACCATGAGGCTGGCAGCGCGGGGCTCAGCTCCCGGCAGACCCCACTTACTTTGTTTTCATCAAAAACGTTAAAAACAAAGGTGGCAAATTTGGTTGGGTCGCCAAAGGGGAAGAACTGCTTGTAGATCTTCTGGAACCCAGCAGCATCCAGCTGGCCGCTGGGGCAGTCCTTGATGAAGCCCTTGTACCTGGGAAAGAAAGAAAGAAAGAAAGAAAGGAGGGAGTTGCCTATAGATGAGCAACACATCACGCAAGCCCTTCACACCTCTAACTCAGCTGAGGCTATTGTGGCCACTTTAGCTAACCAGTGCACTAATCCTGAGCTGAACTTTCTCTTGCAGTGGGAGTCTGTGCAGAGAGCAAAAGGGACCTGATGGCTAATTTCCTCCCCGTGACTCTCTTTCCTATTGCAATATTTCTAGGATGTCTCTGACTGAGACCGTGTCTGCACATACCTGGATGACGAGGAGGCTTTGGTGCCCCTGCCAAGATAGCTGTGTGGTTGGGGCAGCTCCATGGTAGGCTCTATGCCACCGCGGCATGAAGTGCCGCCTGAGAAGGCCGCCGTCCCTGACTGGAGCATGGCAGCCTGCTCCACCTCTTGTTGGAAACCTGAGCATGGCAATACCTGCTTTCTCTTCTCAAGTCCTTCCCGATCCAAGGCTGACAAGTGCTAAGCGTTAGGAAGCGACCCTGAAAAGTGCTCTCATGGCCCTGTGCTTGCTCATGCCAGCACCTGTTTGCAAGCTCTCTCGTGCACCAGCTGCTGCACAAGATGGTGCCAAGATCAAAGGCACAAGGTAATGGGATGCCCTCGTCCTGGGGGGCAGGAATGGCCAATGAATACAGCACCGAACTGGGACTCAGAAGACCAGGTTTTGCTCTTTTCTCAGGCAGACTTGGACAGGTGATCCTCAGGGTCCTTACCTGTCAGATCTACAAATGAGAAACACCACCTACAAGCCAGGCTTTCATTCTTTTATAATAATAATGATGATGATGATAACAGAAATGAATCTAGCCCAACAATCAAATCTTCCATGTGGAAAAACAGTATTTTCATTGGCCCTTTGAGCCAGGGGACAGCCCAGGCCCAGGAACTGGCACAGCATGAGGGCTAGCCCTAGCTCTGATCCCGCCTGTCTGTAGGAACTGCCCAGAGATGTTAATGCCTGCAAAGTGTTTTGTAGATGAAAAGTGCTGAAAACATTAATAATGAAGTGCTCGCACAGAAGAGACCACAGGCATTAGAGTAACACTGCAGCTGATGTGTAACTTCTAAGTCACTGCAGTGAACGGCGCGGCACCTTATCAGAGGATTGCATTATGCAATCACTTATCTGCTCAGATTAGGCCCTGAAACACCTATAGCCCCATATGTGCTGTTGCGCTATGTGCTCATTTAAAAGCACTTATCATGCAAGTCTCAGAGCAACAGTCTAACATAATAGCACCACATAAACATAAACAGGAGAAAGTCTGCCTTTGGTCTGTGCATGGGGCCTCGCTGACTTGAACAGCAGCTCTGTGCAGGGAATGCAAACAAGGCCATTTATAGCTCCATCTGCAACACTGCAGCTCCATCCCAGCTCAGTCGAGGAGGCCTTTGTATATACAGTCCTGGGTAATTTGCTGTAGGCTGTGTTTTTCATCCATGGATCTGAAAAACCTTTGCCAAGAAGGTTGGTATTATTACTCCCATTTTAAAGGTGGGGAAACTGAGACACAGGGCAGTGGAGGGAGGGACCCAGAGTGTCACAGTGAGACGCTGCCATGGTACAGGACTAGAGCTCGGGTCCACTGACTTGACAGCAGCATCTTCAGCTGTAAGACCATCGGGACAAATAATTTAATCCATCTAGGAGGCAGTGGAGGGAGCAACTCTTCCACCTTGTAATGGGAGGTGGGGGCTGATGCAGGGGTCACGGGCTGAGGTATAGCAGAAGCAATGGCACTCGGCCAGGTGAATCATGGTAGCAAATACTCGAATAGCACGTGAGCAATCTGTAGGCTGGGCCCGGGTCATGGGAAGAGTTTGTCAGACAACTACCAAGAACACACCAAAAAAGGCAAAGGCCCTTCCTAGCCTAGGCTGGCAGGGTTATAATGCCCCGGTTTCTGCAGCAAAGGGGAGGGATGTGGCTTGCATCACTTCAGGCCCCCTTTGACTCCCAACCTGGGTCAGTGGGATACAGGAGGCACCTCTGGAGCAGCAGTGAGACCCCTTCCCTGCTAGGAACACCCCAGTGCAGCAAAAGCGGGGCCTGCATCCGAGTTGCCTGTGGAAGGAGAGCAGGGCTCAGTGCATCAGGGCAGTGGCTTTGCTCTGCTCCGGCTCCAACGAACGAGGGCACCAGCATGAACGAGACTTCCCAACACCACTGACAGCAACAGTCCAACTCCTCTGACCTCAGTGGGGCCAGGACCTATCTCTAGGTGTTTTGTGTGCTGCTAGTTAGTCGTCTTGCTGTGTCCCCCACCAGTAAAGCATGACGAGAACAAGCAAGGAGGCAGGAGAGGAACAGGCAGAACCGGCCTCTGCCATGCCCCTCTCCTGATGCCCACACAGACTGCTGGCCACAGCAACAGATACGGCCCCCGAGCCACTCGGGAAGCAGCCACTAGCCACCCGAGAGCCACACGCACCTCCCTTCCACAGCTGCAGAGGAGTTGACTTGTTGCTGGGCTGGGAATTAGCACACCAAGGCCTTCCCGCTGCCAGCTCTGTCCAGATGGAGACAAGCCACCGCAGCGATCAATCTTGCACCTTCATCCAGGAGGGTGCAGGGGGGACAGGGGATGGAAATATTTATGAATTCCCAATGGCTGCTTGGCCAGCTCACCGAGTCAGGCTGCACTGCAGCCGGTGCTGGAATAATATTTACAGGAAAGGGAAGCACCGATTGATGTAGGAGCGCGCTGTTACCTTCTGCGTCACTCCACAAGCTCCGGGCACAGTGGCCCGAGTAACCTCCTCTCCCCTCTCCAAGCCTGCCTAAGCCACAGGTGCTTGGAGGGAGCAGAAGGACGTTACAGGATATCAAATGAGTTTGTTTAAACATTTTTCCTGCCTTGGGACAGCAGAAACAGGACGTCCGATCCTGACGGAGCCAGGTCGGAAGGTAGCTTGTCTTCCTTGTATATCCTCACTAGTTCCTTTCTAACTAGGGTCCCAGTCCTGTACAGCATCATTGTGGCCAACCTCCTGTTGATCAGCGCAGGCTGCCCGTAGGAGTGCTCAGGGAGGGCTATTTTGAATGCTGTGGGGCTTGAAAGTTCAGCTCCAGCTTCTGGAGGGTTTATCCTGCTTGAGGAAGGATGGCCAGACAGCCAGAGACAAATTAAGAAGTAGAGCATAGTGAAATGCAACAGCTGGGTGTACATAAAATGTTTTCTCTGAGGCAGAACAGGATCTGGGTCACTGGACCTATACCGCTGGCAGCCAAGGGTGATTCTCCTTTAGCTCAGGGGGGAGAAGCCTGGGTTTTTAGAGTAGCAGCATCAAGCTCCTGTCCCTGTAATTGCAGTAAATGATCATCAGCATGCAGCATCATGTCTTAGGTATGCCTGGGCATGTTACAATGCACACCCGCTGCAGGGAATCCCATTGGAGACTGTCCAAGTGTACAGAGGCTCTTGTGACTTGGATGCCAAGACATCCCTAGAGCAGGGGCGGGCAATTATTTTGGGCTGAGGGCCACTTACTGAGTTTTGGCAAGCCATCGAGGACCGCATGACAGGCAGCCAGGGGCAGATAAATATTCATTTTCTACATTTTTTAGGGTCCCTGCGGGCTGGATAGAATGGCTTGGCAGGCTGCATCCAACCCATGGGCTGCATTTTGCTCACCCCTGCCCCAGGGCCAGCAAGCCCCTTAAACAGTCCTGGGGAAAACGCTGTTTGCCTTCGTTAGAGGTCGTAACGCCGCAGACTAGATGAGGTTTCAGGGAGGCCAGACACCAGGGTGACGGGCCTGGTACAAAAAGCCAGGAGCAGGAGCAGTGGGGAGAGGAGGGATCCAGGCACACGTGTGTCCTGCACGCACGTGCGTCCCCTTACCAGACCCGAGGCGGAGGCGGACACAGCAGCAACGGGGGCAGCAGCAGCAGCTGATCCCCCTAAGGTAAGTGGGCAGAGGGACCGGATGCAGCTGAGCCGGTAGGGAGCCGCGGCGCGCGAACAGAGCACGCAAACACTCTGTAAGAGCGCACCGGTGGGCGAGCAGGAAGGGCCAGGAGGGAGACTCCTGCTAGGGCAGGGCAAAGGCGGAAGAAGAAGGTGGAGGAAGAAATTGGTGGCTATTTCCTTTCGCTGCAGGGCCACGCACCCAAGGGAGAAGCACCCCGGGAGGTGCCCTCCACTGCAGAGTGGCAGACGGTCACCTCCAGATCCAGGGCTGCCCATAACACAGCAGCACCAGCTGCTCCGGGCCGGCTGGAGAACAGGTACGAGGCCCTGGCGACACTGGAGGAGGAGGAGG